GGACGGGAAAAGATAGAATCGGGGAACACTTTCTCTTTTTCCCTAACAAGATGCATTTTCAGAGCTGTCCCTAGGCTAGGGGAGCTGAGAAAAAAATAGCCCCGAGTTTTTATTCCTATTTGCAACAGGCCACAAATCTGCACCACAGTGAGGTTGGGGCGAGATTTAGCAAGCCCTTGTTGCTGGTCGCCTGTCTTCCTGGACGGATCCAGTCAGCTCTCCTGGTTGTCAGAGGGGCTCTCCTGATAGGAAAAATAATAGCAAACGTTTTTGAAGAGGAAGGAAGTCTTCAGCCGCTTGTGACCTTATGAAATCCGTCTGGGCCGAAGAGATAGTGGCCGCTTGGCTGAGGGCCCTTGGGACTTCACAAAATTGTCTCCCGGGTGGATGGGGTGGGACTCCTCATAAAATAACACGGTACACAGAGGTCAAATCACTCGCACGAAGGCCACCTACCCGCTTACGCGAGCGCGCAGCTGTGGGACCCACAGGCGCAGCTCCAGACTCTGAGGTGCGTCCTACGCGCAGGCGCACGACCGGGAGGCCGACCGGGGTTTTTTGGGGGGCGGGGCGAAGGCCAGTCACGTGGGCCGCGCAGCCCTCTCGGCGATTTCCCTTACAAGGACTTGGACTGACAAGTCCCGCCCCTGGCCGTACCCTGGTAGGTGTGGAGAGGCAAACCCATAGGACAGACCCAACCATCTGCTCACGGGGAGGGGGAGGAAAAGAAATACATATAAGAGTAGGCACAAAAAACACAGAAACTCAGGCGTCATACCCAACGAGCCACTACACGTTGCTCTGTTCTAAGTCGTCGCTTTATATTTCTTCCTGTGCACTCGGTCAAAATCGCGCCCTTTTAGCACAGTGGCAACTGCGCCCCCCGTCGCCTTTCCCTTAAGTCAGGCCCATCCTGTTGGCAAAGAATGGTGACTGGGCTTTCTTCCGGTTTGCTGAGGGGAGGCCGGAAGTGTAGTATTTTAGCGGCTCTGGGGGTAGAAGGGTGGTGATAGCGGCAGCGAGGGCAGCAAGGAGGGTCACTGAAGCGCTCGGTTCTCGCGGCAGTGCAGGGTG